TATTCAAATTTATATTTTATTAAAAATAAAAACATTATTTTTTTATTGAACTTAAATTAAATTATAATAAAAATTTGAATGAAAAAATTACACAAAAAATGAGAAATTTTAAATAGTTAATTTAATAGTAATATCGATATATTTTTGTCAAAATTTTATGATATCTTCAAATTTATATTTTATTCAAAAATAAAAACATTGTCCCATTTTCAAAATCACATAAGACCATATTATAACATCGACTGAGATAAAGAATAAAATGAAATATTAAAATTAAGATGTATCTCGCTGCATTACGTGATTACCTTCTAGTTATTAATAAAATAAAAATAGCTATTGGAGTTGGATGTAATTCTTTTTAATTTTATAATTTTTAAATTTTTTATTAACCTAGATATTCAACCCGCTATGTAAGCCGACTAATCTCAAAACGACTACTTGCTTTGCAGGTAGCCCGGAGTCACCATATTTGAATATTCGTGGCCACAAGATGATTTTTATTACTCTCTAGATTTAAACCTGAGACCTCCAAATATTTTGGCATTTGGAGCTCAAATTCAAACCAATCAAACATCATATTTATGGTTGATTAAAAAATTATTATAACACCCTTATTTGTGTAACTTGGGAGATAATTTAGGGACTGATATTGTAATTTATGTGTTTACTTTGAATTCTTTAATCGACGGTTGACGTCTGACACCGACCTTTAAATCTAAACCTATCCGGTTCAAGAAAAAGGAGACCACTTTCGGTTCAATATTAACGCGTGTGCGACCGTTTCAATGTATATATGGACATATATATACATACATATACTTTTAGAGAGAGAAAGCGATGCTCCTGCTACTCTCTCTCTCCTCACCTTCTTCATTTTCTTCCACCTAATTCACTCCTAATACGATACCTCCTAATTCAATTTTTCAATCTCCAAAACCCTAGATCTTGATGGAGCCTCGTGTCGGTAATAAATTTCGTTTAGGTCGAAAGATTGGCAGTGGATCGTTTGGAGAGATCTATTTAGGTATGTTGATTTTTATTCGAATACCTGAATTCTACGGTGTCATTTTTTGTTTTTTGTTTGATTTCTGAGTTTTGGCTGATTCGAATTGTTTGGTTGGATTTTTGTTTCGTTTTTTCCAGGTACCAATGTTCAGACGAATGAAGAAGTTGCAATTAAGCTTGTGAGTATTGTTATCGTCATCATAATCTTGGGATTTTATATGTGGAGGTTATTATTTGTTAATTATAGTTTGTAGAAGTTGAATTTTGGATGTTCTTTCTAGGTTTATTGAAATGAACGAGTTAATTGTTTTGTTGGGAATTGAAATGAATGAGTATTACCTTTTTAGCTTAAAAGGTTGATGAATGTATTCGGTTTAAAAGATGAGTTGGCTGAAACGATCAACATACTATTTGCTCACATTAATGTTCTAGGTTTCGAAATGTTATCCAATTATTACGTGAGAATTCAGTAGTGGTTGTGTGTTGCTAGAAATGTCAGTTAAAAGTTATGGCAAATTAAGAATCTCATGCAAGTATATAGTCGTAACATGGAAATGTGTTTCTTCTTAGCTAGTAAAAGTGAGAATTCGTTTCTAAATTTGCAAAAGAGGGAGGATTCATTCTCTTTGAAGTAACTGTGTAAACCTAGTCAAGGAAGACATGGCTGACCTTGCTTGATGCAGTGGGTACAAATGGAAAATGGCTGTGTGCTCCAATGTGGAATTTGGCACACGGTGATGACTTGGTGGCACTCTTTTTTGTCTCACCTTTGGTCAATAGTACCTCGATGAAGAGAAGAAAAAGGGAAACATGGAAGAGGAAGTAGGAACAAAACAAAAGAGACACCATGGCATTTTTGGTTTGATATTTGGGAGGACCTCGTCAAAAGATCTCTTTCTTACCCATAGTTTGACTGGCCGCGAATATCTCATGTTTAGGTTATGTATAAGATACTTCAAATAGTTGGGAATATTAAAATTGACATAACCCTTTGAACTATTGTTATAATATTAACAATCTTTGTTGCTTCTTTTGAAAGATAAATTTATATAATAAGAGCCCTTGAACTTTATAGTAAGTCATCAGTGTTGAATGTGTAATTGTGCTTTATCCATTTCCTCCGAGCATGCAGCCATTTTTATTGCAAGAGACTCCCATCAAAATAGGATCAACACAAGGAAAAACACTTGCAATTAATTTTAGAGTATGTTGCTGACCATCAAATTTATGATAATGATAAATAAGTTAGCAAACTGCAGCTGGTTATAATCTTATACTATTTTTGTTACACTTCTTATGTACATTCTGCGGAAATGTTAAATGAACCTTTTAGTTTATGGTTCACAATTTTACAGTTTTTTAATTGGTATATATTCTGTTTTGGAAACTATATACATGAATTTGCATTGAACTAGTAAGTAACGGTTATATGATTTAACATGGTGCCATAACATTGGTTAATGTGGCCGTATGTGATTTATTTCTACTCTTTTCGAGTTCTTTGGGATTTATGGAACTTCTGCATGCCATGTCTGTCATAGTCCACAGCCCTTTTCCAGGTTGGTCCCATGCACGTTTCACACACCGTGACTGCCACGTTGTATACTTGTATTTATGACTAATCAGTTCAGGCTTTCAGCTATTTCTTAGTGTTTTGGAGTTATCTCTAGCTGATCCTTGTCGCTATTAATTTCTAAGCAAATTACACTTTCTGAAGCTATTTGGGGTACCATGGGTTAAACATCCTCTACAGATATCGTGCAATGGAATTTACTAGAATAGTAGACATTTTAAAAGTTTCTTGTATATGACGCTCTTGTGGATTGTCTGGGTTAAAGATACCTTTCTATTGTATCATGGGGATTTTTTATCCTTGGTGAGATATAATCATAGAAGGCTAAGTCTATTGTATACATCAGTTCTTTTACAGCAATTAATTTCATAACAGTGAATCTGGTGAATGCAATGAAGCAGTGTTAACAAAACGTGAGTATAGTTGGTGGAATAACACTGTTACAGAAGTATTTGAGGCCAAAGAGCAACTAGCATAACAACATTGCGAACCATTAGATATGCAAGTAAAAGAGGTAATCGGTGTTACCATGCAAGCTAGTATCGGATTGACAAGTGAAGACGGAATAAAACCATCTCGCAAGCGAATAGGGGATGAGATGAGAGATTGGATCTCATCTTATCGTACCTGTGTGATAGACTCATCATTGTGTTGTTTCCAATACTCTTTAGTCTTTATCAGTGGTTTTTTTTTCGCACTACTAGATGTAGACAGGGTAGAACTCTCTTTACTATCATGAATCTACCCACATTTCGGTTTTGAGATTGATTTTTTATTTTAAAACAAATCATTCTCCTTTTTGAAGTTTTACTTGGCTTGTTCTCAGGAAAATGTCAAGACAAAACATCCTCAGCTGCTCTACGAATCCAAGCTATACAGAATTCTACAGGGAGGAAGTAAGGAGCTGCATTAATCTGTTTTACATGTATACTTTTATGCACTCCTTTCCCTATCATTGAAACAGTTGCTTGATTGCCACAATATCACTATTGCAGCTGGTATTCCAAACGTGAGATGGTTTGGCGTGGAGGGAGACTATAATGTTTTAGTGATGGATTTGCTTGGACCCAGTCTTGAGGATTTATTCAATTTCTGCAGTAGGAAACTTTCTCTAAAAACAGTTCTCATGCTTGCAGATCAAATGGTTAGTCAGTTACCAATTCTTTTGTTTTTTCTTTTATTGTTTTAGCTTTTAACATGATGATGATGGATCTGATACTCCTTTCAGATCAACCGTATTGAGTTTGTTCATTCTAAATCATTTCTACATCGTGATATCAAGCCAGACAATTTTCTTATGGGTTTGGGACGACGTGCAAATCAGGTAACAGATTTTGATCATTCATTTTGCTACCAATTTGGAGCCTTTGTTATGATAACCTTGTAATTTCCTTTCTACTCTCATGCAGGTCTACATCATTGATTTTGGTCTGGTCAAGAAATACAGGGATACTACAACTCACCAGCACATTCCTTACAGGTGAGACTGTCAACAACTTAATTATGGTTATTATATACGTAAGTGGCATCAATACATGCCTTCCTTTTGTATGTGCCCCACATCTTAATTAACACACACTCATCCTGTACCGGCAAGAAACAGCACCCTCACTTACCTTCTTAGGTAACATTCTTGCCCACCAAAATGGATCATTGGTAAGCGTCTTAAACCTGGTAAGCGCTTACCGGGTAAATGTCTTTTTTATCACTTACTGGGTAGACTCTCGGTCCTTGTTATCCCTCTTACCAGGTAAGATTCTCGGTCCATGCCATGCTCAATTGGTAAGGGAAATGACACTTGATAAGCGCTTGGCGTAAACGGCCCCTAACTTGTATTTTTTTTTTTTTGGGTTTTGGAAAGGGGGGGGGGGGGGGGTACATGCTGTGGATACCCTGAGTTTGCGTTCTTCACAATTTGGTGCAAGGTGGACTTTGTAGTATCCTTTTTCTTGCCTTTTAGCACCATATTGGTTTATGTTTGCTAGAGTTGTGTGCCAATATTAGTATGTTATACATTTTGAATGTGCATGTACTATATATATCATTGACATACAGTGTTTTATTTGTCTAGACATTCACTATCTTCTTGTTCTGCAGGGACAACAAAAACTTGACTGGGACTGCTAGATATGCAAGCATGAATACTCATCTTGGGATTGGTATGCGTTACTACCTATGGATGATAAACACTCTTATGCTGGAAGATGCAGTCTTGTGAATACTGACTTGTGTATGTTTTTGTTGCTGGACCTTGTAGAACAAAGCAGGAGGGATGATTTAGAATCTCTTGGATATGTTCTCATGTATTTCTTAAGAGGAAGGTAATACCTTTGTATTTCTTTCCCATTCTCAGATAAATGGTCTCTTCATCAATCAAATGATGTCTATTTTATATGACCAGCCTTCCTTGGCAAGGGCTTAAAGCAGGAAATAAGAAACAGAAGTATGAGAAAATTAGTGAGAAGAAGGTTTCTACATCGATTGAGGTATTGCACTCTAAAAGACTAACTGTATTTCTCCCTTTTATACATAGCTCTAATGAATGGGTGGTGAATTTCTTTTTTCTTTTCCAACTTCCCTCAGGCCTTATGCCGTGGTTATCCGACAGAGTTCGCATCATACTTCCATTACTGTCGTTCACTGCGGTTTGAGGACAAACCCGATTATGCTTATCTGAAGAGAATATTCCGAGACCTCTTTATCCGTGAAGGTTTGTACCCATTTTGGCTAATAACAGCAAAAAGAACTTTTATGATACGGATGGTAATGTATCAGCCTCTCGTATTTTCATCTCCTTATAGGGTTTCAGTTCGATTATGTTTTTGATTGGACAATTTTGAAGTATCAGCAATCACAGATTGCAGCTCCTCCTACCCGTGGTCTGGTAAGTAGCATGTGTTTTGCTTTCATGCACATGGTTGTTAGAATTACAAATAAAACCTAATTGTTCTATCTGTTAGGGCATGGGTGCTGGACCAAGCTCTGGAACACCCCCTGCTATTCCGAATGGTGACAGGCAGACAGGTAATTTCCACATCGGTTATAGTTTTTAACTTCTGAGATTTGCTTTTGTATATTGTAACTATTTTGAGAACCTAGAGAACCCAATATTCAGGATGAATAATGAAAATGCATGATATTCATGAATACTTGAGTATATTCATTATGAATAAGTCATGAATAGTTGGTTCTCACAGTGATAGATTTTCTCTGCTACGAATCTGATAAGGGCAAACTCTGTAATTTAGAAACTCCTTGGGAGTTGATGCATAGCCTTGGCACATTGACTGCAAAGAGGAGTTGGCAGCAGTGTTTTAAGGGGTTTCTTTGTAATTTGTTCATTTTTTATGGTGGTTCATCTGACCGCCAATTTATTTGGAGTCTCTCTTGGACATATATACACAAGCACACTTGGTGTTCTTGGGATGGATTTCGTTAAATAATAATTTGTTGTAGGTGAGGAAAGTGGGAAACAAATCGGTTTATCTTCAATGGATCCTTCTCGTCGAAGAATTTCTGGACAAGTCACCGGGAATCCACCTAAGGAGAAGAGTCCAGTTGCTAACGATGCAACAATGAGCACAGATGCCATGGTGAGTTCTCTGAAATATGCCCTTATAATGCAAATATTTTTATAATTCTTGTCAAATCAGTTTTTTCTATATGTGTGTGTGTGTGTGACTCTATCGAATCAACCTAAAACCCTCTTTTTTCGCAACCGCCATCTAGAAATTTTGTAGTCCTTTTCCTCTCATTGTAAGCATGAATGGTTTGTCGGGGTCTTCATATAAATAGTTTGTCTCTACCCCTTAGAACAGAGACGAGATATGCTTACATCCTACCCCGGTAGGTGGTTGGGATTCGGAAGCTCGAATGCTTTTCATTGTTTGGCTAATATAAATACATGGGCCATATTTGTGATAATATGAGTTCCAAAATAGATGTCCACAATAACAAAACATATAGTTTTAGAAATTTGTAACCAAGGGAAATTGACCAGCCAAAGCCACTATTTCAATTGAATTCCCATTTTGGCCAGAGTTTACAAGATGCATTTGCGTAAACTCGATTTTCAGATTAAGAAAGAAAAAAATATTTTTTCTTGCATAAAGGTTCAGATTTTTGCGTAAAAAATCCTTACGCATATGTATAAGGATTTTTTCTCTTTTTTCCAGAAATCAGTATTTACGCAAATGCACAAATCATCTGCTTAAAGATCGGCTATTTTGGGAAGAGGCTCTGGAAATGGAGTTTGGTTCATGGGATTGGCTATTTCAGTCATTTTCGTTGTAATTATTACACTTTTTAATTAACTGAATAATAAGTTCTGTTAATCACATAAAGTAATGAATTTCTCAATCTCATAATCAATGGTCGGATTGAAAAGTAGGCACCACCGAGCACGTGCTTTGGGAATTGGGACAAATAAAAGATGGGGAGTATTTGGTTTATAATATGAATGATTTAATCTTGTTTTACTGCTGCAGATGTCAAGCTCGGCGTTTACTGGGCGAGCAGGTGGATCGATGAGGCGAGGGAATGAGGTGGAGGGCACGGGTCGTTCACGAATCCCAGACACAAGACAAAGAAGTTCACCGGTAGGTGGTGGGTCATCGTCGGATCCAAGAAACGCTTCGGGTGGGAAGAATGTAGCTTCAACAAAGAAGTACGAAACGACTCTCAAGGGAATGGAGAGCCTACATGTCGAGGATGAAGACCGGGTTCGTTAAGGAAGGAATGGATAATATGTCTTGTAAATTTTCCATAAGACAAAAAACATTCAAAACAAACTCCTTCAAAATCAGCATCTCTGTCTCTTCTCTTCTTCATAGCAATTGTGATAATAGTTGATTAAAATCTTACTCAACTGTAAATCTCTAGTTTTTATGAATTCTTTCTTCTATTTCACTTTTTCTCTTTCTTTAGATTTTGAAGATGGGTAAATTGCATGGAAAACTTGATTTTTATTTTGAGTAACGTACTTTCAGAATTTTCATTTTGGTATCAAAGATGTAAAGTTTTTTAAACATTTTGTGTCTGCGTAAGTTGTTGAATCATTAACCCGTTACCATGTTGATGTGGCGAGTGATGTGGTATCCGGTTAATGCTTAAGCAAATAATATTGAGTTTGATACCATATCAGCATAATAATCAGTTAATGATTCAACCGGTTACTCGGGTACTTAAATGTTTAAAACTTTACATCTTAGGACCAAAATGAAAGTTTAGAAAGTATGTTACCCAAAATAGAAATCAAGTTAAAGTACGTTGCTCTTTAATGCAATTTGCTCTTTGATTTTTTTTTTAAGTTTTACTTATTTTAACAATTATACTAAAATAGAGAAAAATATTGAAATCTTCAAATTTGGATAAATTTTTAAAAATTAATGTTGAGTAGATAAATATGTTATTTTAATTGTTTCCACCAATAAGGTTGAACGTCTTAAGAAGTTTTTTTAAAAGTACATTGGATGATGAATTTATAGAATATTTTAATAATATAATTAATGTTAGAATTACTAAAATAGAATACTTATTAGAGTTGGATGTAATTTTCTTAAATGCTTTGTTTTACTAAAATCTTCATTTTCTCCATTTAAAAATAATTAGTTAGAAATAGCTCTAAGGGCCTGTTCGTTAGCAGTTTAATGAGCTTAACATGATTTACAGCTTATTCGATCAGCAATACATGACTATTTGGCAGTGGCTTAATGATGTTGGAAGTGGCTTATTCAATAAACTTCTACGGAAGAACTTTATGCAAGAAGCCAAAAAAAAATTCAAACATGTCCTTCCCAATTAAAAAACATGCACATTCCATCTACGAAAAACCAAAAACATTTCCAATCTTAACAAGAAAACTCAACCACAATATTCATTAATGAATAGCCTCAATCCTCCATAAAATCAAAAAACACTACCTTAGCCTTACCTTATCACTAAACATCAAATATCTCAACACCAAAAAAAAACCCTCAAAATCTAAGTCTAAAGAAGATCAGCAACATTTGATGGCAGCTCCTCAACAACCACATTGTAAAACTTTTGAATATCAAAAAGCATCCTTTCATCATCCCTAGTCACAAAATTGATTGCAACACCTTTCCTCCCGAACCGCCCGCTCCGCCCGATCCGGTGCAGATAGTTCTCGGGTTGGGTCGGGAGATCATAGTTGATCACAAGCGAAACTTGTTGTACATCAATCCCACGAGCCAAGAGATCGGTGGTGATGAGAACCCGCGAAGATCCGGATCGAAATTCGCGCATGATGATATCTCTCGTGTTTTGATCCATGTCTCCGTGAGTCGCCGAGACCGTGTGATCTCGGCTCCGCATCTTGTCGGTTAACCAATCAACCTTGCGACGTGTGTTCACGAATATGACGCTTTGCGTGATGGCTAGAGTCTCGTAGAGATCACAAAGGGTTTCGAGCTTCCATTCCTCTTTTTCTACATTGACGTAGAATTGTTTGATTCCTTCGAGAGTGAGTTCATCACGCTTGACAAGAATCCTTACAGGTCGGTTCATAAATTTCCGTGTGATCTCCAATGCTTCGGGAGGCATTGTGGCGGAGAATACCCCGACTTGAATCTTTGCAGGGAGGAGCTGAAATATATCATAGATCTGAAAGCAAGAAACAATCATCTCAACCATGTGGAGATTTTACAACTTAAAAGCACATTAAAGCTCAAGACAACCGAGTGATGCATATTTTTGCAATAACGCACACCTTCTTATCTGCTACGCTAAACCTGTGGGGACTAAGGACATGTTCAGCAATAAAAAATTGGCTTATTTTTTGAGCTTATTGAAAAAACCCAACTTGTTTAGCCATAAGATAGCTTTTTGAGAAAGCTGCTCAAAGTCATTTTATATTCTCATCTAGCTTATCAGCTAATTTTTACTGAAAATGATTAGTTTATGACTGCTAAAAGCTAGCTTATAGTTGCAAAGTACTTCCATTTTGTTCAGACATGCAATCATATCAAGAATCTTGAAATGTACCTGATCTTTGAACCCTCTTGAAAGCATTTCATCAGCCTCATCCAGCACGAACATCTGAATGAAGTCTGGACGAAGAGACTGCCTGCGCAGCATGTCAAACACACGTCCAGGAGTACCAACAACAACGTGAACTCCAGCCGAAAGAATGCGTTGGTCTTCACGAACACTGGTTCCACCCACGCAAGCGTGCACCTTTACACCAAGGTAATCACCAAGTGCTCGCATAACTTTCTCTATCTGTTGTGCAAGCTCGCGAGTAGGTGCCAAAACCAACGCTTGGCATTCGACGGTGTTATAATCGAGTTGTTGAAGGATACCTGAGCAAAAAGTCGCGGTCTTCCCGGTTCCAGACTGAGCTTGTTGAATTACGTCCAGGCCCTTCGTGAAGGGAACGATTCCTCGTTGCTGAATCGCGGATGGTTTTTCGAATCCTACAGTTATGATATTCAACAAGATTACCACAAGATTCAGCACTAAGCATATCCAGACAAGTATCTTTCTTTGCAGCCATTTCATGCTCCTATTCAACAAGATTGGCCCCTAAGGCATTGCCTGAACATGTTACAATGTGAGATATGGAACAGGGTATCCAAATTTTGGGACCCAATTATGCATGTTTTAGGACTTACCCAATTACATATGTGTTAACGTTCAGGGGCTGTTTGGCTGGTTTTCCATTAAGTTATGCATGGATAAAATTGTCTTCATGGATTAATCTCCCTGTATAGGTTGGGAAGGTTTTTGTTTGGGAGAGTTTTTTTATAGATGGAAGGAACATGTTTTTAGTCGCGAGTGGCAAGTTCGGAAAAAACATGACTTTGTGCATAAAGATTCATCCCAAGTCATTTTCTAAATTATTAAGCCTCTACCAAACAGTCATGTATAATTGACCAAATAAGTTGTGTGTTCCATTAAGCTCATTAAGCTGCAAACAAACAGGCCTTTAGCTCAATTATAATGTATAAGGTTTTTACTCTTTTAGCCAATTTGGTGAATCTCACCACCTCTTGAAGAATGTTAGAAGAAATATTCTATTTAAGAGGGCGTAACAGGGCTTCCACAAAGACTGAAACGAGCCTAAGATTGGTGACCTATTTTCATCGGACTCTTCGGTGCACAACCACATAAAGAGTGGATTTTCAACCCTGTGAAAGCATTCATTCATATCTTTTTATCATCATATATTCATCCTAACAAAAATCCAAAGCTTTTGAACCGTGTTACATTGGTTTCGCGCAGTTGAAACAGAAAAAATCGTCAATCACACGATGACATAAATCCATAGAAAAGATCATTAGTCCTTGATGATTAAACATACCATATGCATAAATGCCCCTCAATAGGTTTTCTTGTAAGCCCATTGCATCAAAACTATCATAAACCTCATCATAAGAAGTGAAAAAATCTTGCCCATCAGATGAAAGCCTGCATACAATTACACATTAGTTTCAATTAGCTTGTGCACTATATATGCTGCACAAGATTTCTACCCAATGTAGATCAAGTATAATCTCAATTAGAAACCTCAATATAACATTTAGCTTGTACACAGTTTGAGAATAGGGAAATTGTCCATAATCACTAAAATAGCCAAGATTTTGCAAGTAGCACTTTAGCAACTTGCGAAATTCACTTTTTATGAATATAATATTGATAAAGTAACAATTCTCAATGCTAAAGTGCTACTTGTGAAATACTCACGTGGAAGTGTCACTTACGCAACTTGCTAAAGTTGTTAAAGTGCTACAATGCTACTTACCCAACTTGCTAAAGTGCTACTTGGCATGTCAGCATTTCGCAAATACCAAGGTTACTTTATGAATACTGAATTCGTAAAAAATAGATTTCACGAGATGCTAAAGTTCTACTTGTGAAATCTTGGCTATTTTGGTCAATTGAGTAGAAAGGTGGCTATAAGATGAATTGGGGAGTGTGGAATGGCTATTTTGGACAATTTCCCTAGAGAATATCAATATATCATCAACATAGAACTTACAAATCATTCATTTTGGAATCATATTGACGAGCATCAAACTGAGAACCTTCGGGCGCCAAACCTGCCATGACTGCAACCATATAGAACTATAAGCAAAAAACAACAATAACTAAAGATCAACACCACCATTGCATCTTCCAAGATACAAAGAAATCACGACACCATCATTGCATGTTATTTAGGTCCCATCACCATTAACCCACAAAATACATCCCTATATATTGCTAAATGCATCCCTACCAACTAATTTCCTATTCACAAACATCAACATCAGAACTTACTTTTTACATTTTTAATATACGATTTGACCTGATTCTGACCTAAATAGGGGTGCATATGGCAACACCCTTATGAAAATCTTAAAACAGTCATAGGACTTTAACATAAAACCAAACAAACCCGGTATATTCCGTCCTATGTGGGGTTGTCCAAAGTCCAAACTCATTCAAGTGCCTTAGATGGTATCAAATAGTTCAACCTAAACACTAATCACATAGCCGAGCTAACGTTTTCGATTCTCATCAATAGACTTGTTAAGTACTCCATAGAGAACTCAGAAGCCTCATTTGAATCACACATTCGTAGATCAAACGGGAGACAACTTAAAATAGATCATCATGGATTTCAAGTTGTCCTATTTCATCATATCCACTATGCAGAGCAAATTGATAAAACCCTTTTCACAAAAAGGCAAAAAAAAAGTACAACTCGATACTTGTATCACAATCGAGAATGCAATCAATCTTCATAACTCGATTTCCCATTAATCAATCATAAACCCCAAACTAAATAAACGCATTCTATGTATAAGTATATGATTCCTGTAAGACTCCAATACTTGTCTATCATCACAAATACAACTATATTCATCGATGCATATACATTACAGAAAACACTGACGATGGATAAACATTAAACATCAAGGAATCACAATGACATCAAAATCAATACAAAAACCGAAAGAAAACGAGTAAGAATGCAATGAATCAAGAGTCATACGTACAACAAAACCAGATGAAATCGATGGATTGAAGAAGTGATGGATTTGATCGGAGAAGAAAACAATAGCGGAGAGCTTCTCCAAACTACTCGGATCTTATTCTGAGATGTGATGCGGAAGACAGAGGCCGCTTCTTTCATTTTGTTTATTTACTTATTTACCCTTTGTTTTTTTTATTCATTTAGGTAAACAATATTAAATAAGTATTTATTATATTTATGATCTTTTGGTTATATCTATACTATCTATAATATATTATAAAGTTTTTCACAAAAGCTTTTAAAAATTAATTTTTATACATAAAGTACTATTTATTAATGCATATTACTTAAAACTCAATATTGCAAGTAGATTGTGCGTAAATACAACTTCTTAAAGCTTCATATCTGAATTCGTGTAACTAACTGCAGATAAACATAATCAAATACAGGATAAACATCTCATTTTAAATATAAAAAATCTAAAATATAATTAAGATAATCATTGAATCCTAACAGAACACTTAATTATTATCTTTATAATATTAAACCAAAAATATTTTATTTCATTATTAAACTTAAATTAAATTATAATAAAAATATAAATTAAAGAAATTACATAAAAATGAGAACTTTTAAATAGTTGATTTGATATTAACATATATATTTTTTTTTCAAAATTTTATAATATCTTCAAATTTATATTTTATTCAAAAAYAAAATCATTATTGTTTTCTTAAAAACACATAAAATCGTATTATAACATCAACAGAGACAAATAATAAAATTGAACATTAAAATCGAGATATATCTCACTGCATTGCGCGAGTACTTTTCTAGTATTATAAAATATTTGATAAAAATGTTTAAAAATTATTTTAATACATAAACTATTGTTTATTGATGTATATTACTTAAGATTCAATATCACAAATAAATTTAGTGTAAGTACAACTTATTAAAGTTTCATTTTTGAATTCGTTTAACTAACTATAAATGAGTATAATCAAATATGAGATAAAAATCTCATTTTGAATATATAAAAAACTCTAAAATATAATTAGGATGATCATTAGTTATAATAAAATATTTAATTATTATCTTTATAAAAAATTATATTATTTAATGATAAATAAATTATTTCATCATTAAATCTATATTAAATAAAAAAAATTACACAAAAAACGAGAACTTTGAATAGTAAATATGATATTAATATATATATATATATATATATACTAGAAAGGTACTCACGCAGTGCAGCGAGATACATCTTGATTTTAATACTTTATTTTATTCTTTATCTCAGTCGAAGTTATAATATGGTCTTATGTGATTTTGAGAAAACGATAATGTTTTTTATTTTTAAATAAAATATAAGTTTGAAGATATTATAAAATTTTAACAAAAATATATCGATATTAGTATCAAATTAACTATTTAAAATTCTTCATTTTTTGTGTAATTTTTTAATTCAATTTTTTTATAATTTAATACAATAACGAAGTAATTTATATGTGGTTTAATAATATAATTTTCGTATAAAGATAATAATTATTTATTTTGTTAGAACTCGATAATTACTCTAATTATATTTTAGATTTTTTATATTTTTAAATAAGATGTTTATCCTCTATTTGATTATATTTATCCGCAATTAGTTATACAAATTCAAACATCGAGCTTTAATAAGTTGTACTTATGCATAATTACTTGTAATCTTGAATTTTAAGTAATATGCATCAATATACAGTACTTTATGCATAACAAAAATATATCGATATTCGTATCAAATTAACTATTTAGAATTTCTCATTTTTTGTGTAATTTTTTAATTCAATTTTTTTATTATAATTTAATTTAGGTACAATAACGAAGTAATTTATATTTGGGTTAATAATATAATTTTCTTATAAATATAATAATTAATTATTTTGTTAGAATTCGATGATTATCTTAATTATATTTTAGATTTTTTATATTTTAAAATAAGAAGTTTATCCTCTATTTGATTATGTTTATCCGCAATTAGTTACACGAATTCAAATATCGAGCTTCAATAAGTTGTACTTTTGCATAATTTACTTGTAATCTTGAATTTTAAGTAAGCATTGGTTTTATATGGTTTTGAAAAAGTGATAATGTTTTTATTTTTGAATAAAATATATATTTAAAAATATCATAAAATTAAAAAAAAAAATATCGATATCAATATTAAATTAATCCTTTTAAAAGTTCTTGTGTTTTAGTGTAATTTCCTTGATTAAATTTTTTTAATTATAATTTAATTTAGGTTTAGTAACAAAGAAATTTAATTTAGGTTTAATAATATAATTTTTTATAAAGATAATAACTAAGTATTCTGTTAGTTATCAATGATTATCTTAATTATGTTTTAAATTTTTTATATTTAAAATAAAATGTTTATCTAATATTTGATGATGTTTATCCAGTTAGTTAGACGAATTCAAGATTACCTAAGAATCTCCGTTTTTTTCCTTTTATAAAATTTCCTTTTTCACAAGTTCAAAATTAAACGAGAAGACGGTTAATCTACAAGAATTTGAAAAGTTGTAAGATTACATATAATACAAACATGTTTTTTTGAGCTTTACGTAACTATCGGTTGTGTTGACAACGTCTTTTTACACATGCTTGGTAATCAATGTCATCTTCAAATTTCTTATCTTCTTGTAAATTGACCGTTTACTCGTTTAATTCTTATCTATTATCAGTTGGCTAAAGGATACTATTATGTAATACAATAAATGTTATATATAGACTTGAGATCATGTGAGACCAAAGGATTTTCGTGAGACTCGTAAAACCAATTCTCAACTCTTGGATTAGATCTAAAATCTGAACATTCATAATCACAAAATTACCACGAGACTTCTCAATAACCACAAAATTGTCACCGTACAACTTTATACCATAAGCTTATAAACTTGATCAATAAACATAAATTGGTCTTACGGGTCTCACAAAAAACCATTGGTCTCACATAAACCCAATTCTATATACAAATATATATTATTGGATAAATTAGGCTAATTATCTCATCTAATATTTTATTCTTAAATGAATATTTCTCAATCTGCAATTTTTTTAAATAAACCATTATACTTTTAAAAATTGTCACCTCATCCTTTTAAATAAAAAAAAAAGTTACATGTATCAACTAAAAAAAATTCAATCAAAAGTTTCAAAAACTTAATCATTCAAAATATGAAAGTTAAAGTTATTCAAAAGAAGAATCTAGGAACTAAAAATTTCAAAATGAGAAAGTTAGTCCCTTGATATGAATAATTTACCAATATATCCTCATATTTGTCTTAGTGGCCGTTTACCTAACGTTTATTTGGGTAAACGCTTACGGGTAAAATTCAACCCTATCACTTACCGGATAAGATTTTAATCTACCACAACAGTATCTTATACACAAATTTACCCGATAAGCACTAAGCATGATAAAAGTCATCGCTCTCACTTACCAGGTAAGACTCTCGTCCTTGTTCTTAGTCTTTGTCATATTCATTCAATAAGACAATTTGACTTAGGCGTTCGGGTAAACGGCCCCTTATTTAAATACCTAAAAATAATTAAAACAAAATAATGGTGATGGTGATGGTGATGGTGATGGTGATGGTGATGGTGATGGTGATGGTAATGAAAGCATAGTTAAAAGATAGAATTGAAACGAATAACGAATTCCAGGAATTAAGGTACAAACATGGGCGCAGTCTCTACCGTTAAAACCTTAACTTAAACAAAAAACAACATACCAAATTCAATTTCAGATCAGATCAGATCAGCAACGTTCGACGGCAGCTCCTCCACCGTCACATTGTAAAATTTCTGGATATCCGCCAGCATCTTCTCATCATCCAACTTCACGAAATTAATCGCCACCCCCTTTCTTCCAAACCGACCACTTCGTCCGATACGGTGGAGGTAGTTTTCAGGCTGTGTCGGCAGATCGTAGTTTATCACAAGTGAAACTTGTTGGACATCGATACCACGTGCCAACAGATCCGTGGTGATGAGAACACGGGAAGAACCAGAACGGAATTCCCGCATGATGATGTCTCGTGTGTTCTGGTCCATGTCTCCGTGTGTGGCCGAGACTGTGTGGTCACGGCTTCTCATATTATCGGTCAGCCAGTCGACCTTCCTTCGGGTGTTCACGAAGATGACACTCTGGGTGATTGCTAAAGTCTCGTAAAGGTCGCAAAGAGTCTCGAGCTTCCATTCTTCTTTTTCAACGTTCACGTAGAACTGCTTAATACCTTCTAAGGTGAGTTCATCACGCTTCACAAGAATCCTCACCGGTTTGTTCATGAACTTCCTGGTGATCTCGAGAGCCTCTGGTGGCATCGTTGCGGAGAAAACTCCAACCTGAACCTTTGACGGCAACAACTGGAATATATCGTAGATCTGGAACGAATGATATATTACCGTTAGAAATTTAAGGGTCCTTTGGTTATATGACCTTCTCACTAGTTTTATTTACATCCACAACTTCCAGACGTATAAACAGAAACTAAAAAGAGTAAACATCGATACCTGATCCTTAAAACCTCTCGAGAGCATTTCATCAGCTTCATCCAACACAAACATTTTGATGTAATCAGCACGAAGCGACTGCCTGCGAAGCATGTCAAACACACGCCCAGGAGTACCAACTACCACATGGACCCCAGCGGAGAGGATGCGCTGGTCCTCACGAACACTGGTTCCACCCACGCAAGCATGGACCTTAACACCAAGGTAGTCGCCAAGAGCCCGCATGACTTTCTCGATCTGCTGTGCGAGCTCACGTGTAGGTGCTAAAACCAAGGCCTGGCATTCAACTACATTATAATCAAGTTGTTGAAGGATACCCGAGCAAAAAGTAGCGGTCTTTCCGGTTCCAGATTGTGCTTGTTGAATTACATCAAGACCCTTGGTGAAGGGAACAATTCCCCTCTGCTGAATTGCTGATGGTTTTTCAAAACCTGCATCGACATAATTCATACATCAAAACCAAACTAAAGAATAGCAATTAATACCCATCAGTCGAAATGATTGGAATAACCAAAGTTTAAAGTTCTAATCATTTAGGGTGTGTTCGGTACAGGGAACAAGATAAGACGGTACAAGAATAATTGTTGTCCCACATTTGGTGGGACATTAGACTCCGACAGGACCTAAGCGGAAAAAATCAATTTTTTCTGCCCACCAAAATAAGTGTAATAAACGAATGAAAGATAGGTAAATTGCTAAACTACCCGTGTCAAATTAAAACCCTAATTGCTTACCTCACTCTCGCCTGCCCAGTCCCGTCCGTATACCAAACGCACCCTTATGGGCAAATAAGTACACAACAATACGATGAACAGGAAATTTATGCAACGTAATTTCAATAATATGAAATCAGACCTACCATATGCGTATATGCCCCTCAAAAGATTCTCTTGTAAACCCATGGCATCAAAACTGTCATAGACCTCATCATAGGATGTAAAGAAGTCTTGCCCGTCAGCTGAAAGCCTGCATCATTGATCAAACTTATCGTATTAGACACTCAAGCCTAGCTCGAATTAAACTTCACCTGAATAACAAACAGCCACCAAGAACAAAAATAAAATATAGGGAACTTACAGCTCGCTCATTTTGGAGTCAAATTGCCTAGCATCGAATTGGGATCCTTCTGGTGCAACGCCTGCCATGACTGCAGAGAGATAGAACCAATCATCAAAAGCAACACAAAAGGATTTTTTTTCCCTCGCACATCTTTCACAAATTAATTGTAAAGCAACAATCTATCAAAATATTATCTCCGCAAAATATATATGTTCATACTTTGTTTGAAATTGCTGTTGTTATCGACACTAACACCACCACTGATATAGTGATAAATAATAGTACTTCCTATCCCCCATGAAACTTGTAATGTGTCCCGTTTATGGATTTCCTCCAACATTTCCATAATTTTCAACATAACTTACTTACCCATTCCCTGTCGTCGTTACAAATCTTGGTGGTATTGATTTTGGCCAAAATATCCGTGGTGAATTATTTCGAAGGGTGTTTTAGGAATTTAGATGATAGTCAAACACTTCTAAGGACTAATGAAGTATGAAACAACTTGTGGAATTGTTGAAACAACTTCTCTTACCATTTTCTATTGACTAGCTCATAGCAAAATCCCATCCCTAATCTACCCTCCCACGGTTTCAACTCCAGTATCACGATTCTTTCATGCAAGGCTAGAGGTTGAAAGTAAATCAGAACATCCTTATAAACCCAAGTTACCTCTTGTTTACCTTCTACCCAGACACCGTTACATATAAAAGCTTTACCAACAGCGCAATCCTGAAAAAATATAAACTCTCACCTAGGTCAATCTCATACCCATTTCCACCAACATTAAAAAACGCACAAGGATGGTGTTTGATTGGTTTGAGCTTGGCTCCAAAGGTCAAAAGTACCAGGAGATCCTAAGTTCAAATCCAAGGAGGAATAAAAATCCCCTTGTAGGATTAGTCGGCTCGCATAACGGGTTGGATATCCAGGTTAATAAAAAAAAACACATCCCTGCTGTCCTAAGCATACTAACAAAAACTCCAAAAAAGCACCAATATTACTAGAAAAGTTAGAAATCTACAAACTCAAAAGAACCCAAAAAACCATCAATACATCACATATAAAACAAAATTTTGGCGCACACATATACATGTGCAATGAAAGCTGAAATCAACCAATGAAGAAAAAACCTTCTGGTGATTCAATTAACCCTTCACGGGGATTTTGTAGAACCAACCCACCTATCCCAATACATCTATTAATCAACCCGACCTTACTTTTTCTCTCTCCTCGAACCTTTTCAGTTCAACCAGTTGAAGCATGACATTCAATACTCGAATAACAAATCAAAGTTCTTAGAGTCCATACAACCGTAACGATCCATCTTAAATACCAACTTAAACTGATTCACTAAATCACTACACATCCCCATAAACATAACATCTCAATCTCCAAAAAGAGTACCCAAAAAGGATTATCAGAACACGTCATGTAATCTGTAAACTCCAAAGCAACAATAAAAACAGAGCTTTATCATCCCATTAACATCGATTTACTTGCACAGCCAAAAGAGGGGAGCGGGACTTAATAAGATAAATACATATACACAACAACGGATCGCATACCATAAAGCGAAACGATGAAAAACACTGAATGAAAACGTAAGAATACCTGGTTGTGTTAAGCGATTGAGAGCGAAATTAGAAGTTTTCTTATTAGGGTTTTCTCAAACTCCTCGGATCGACGCCGTGGAGTTGAGGAAGAAGATGGTGTGCGTCTTTTGTGAGATAAAGTGGCGAGATGGGAATCAAAAAGCAATCCTACCCTATTTCTCTTTTCCTTGTTTGACGATTTTGCCCTTTATAAGCAAAATCTTTTCTTCAGTAAACTACATATTTAGTCCCTGTTTTGTTGAAATTTACGATTTTCGTCCCTGTGGTTTGTTTAAAATTGTAATTTTTGTCCATGTGTTTTTGAAATTTAAGTTTTATTGGTGTGATTTACAATTTATTGTTGTTTTCATCCTTAAAGGTAACTCATAGGGTGTTTGGGATTGCTTATTTGAAATAACTTATGTTTTTTTATAAAAGTTTTTATCAACTTATTATAAGTTATAATGATTTAACTTCTTTAAAAACTTCTTATTACCGGTTTGTATAAACTGTTTATCCAAACACTAAAAAGTGTTTATTATTGGTGTCACACCGGAATAGGTTAATAAGTTATTTTTATAAGCAATCTCAAACACCCCCTCGGTTAATGATTTATCGTTAAGTATAATGGACAACAACAACAACAACAATTAATTGTAAACTAAACTGTTGCACTGTTTTATTCTTATCTTTTTTATGTATTAGGGGTTGTGTTGACGGTTGTTGAATGGTTTGGTGCAGAATGATTAAATGGTTTAAATGATTAAGAGGCTCACATGATATAGTGTAAAATAAAATATAATTATTTGGTAGTTGTTTACAATGAAATTAGGGTGTTAAATGGTTAAAAGAAACTCATGATACAAAATCATTAAGAGGGTTTTACAATAGTTGCAAAGCGATTGTTTAAGTAACGTTTAGCCAAAAACGTTGATGTATCACATATCTAATTACAGATTACGTTTTCATCAAATTAAATTATTATATTTTGAGGTTCACACGTATTTCTTTATCTGTTTTGTGTTTATCAGTGTTGCATCTTTCTCTTTCAAGGTTACATCTCACCAACTCTACTACTTTTTCGACTTGACATCCAACCGTCGTTCAAAAACGTGTTTGTCGGTTTCATCAGCCTCGGTTGATGAAATATTTTTTTAACTTTATCTTTTGCGGTGGAAGAAGAGTCGATATTTTCCTACGGGGGTTTGATGTATTTGTATTTAAAGAAGATGATATGTAACGACCATCTATCGTAGGAATCATGTGAGACAAGGTTGTTTTCGTGAGACACGATTTTTACACTTGAAACTTCACAACAAAATGTTGTGAAAATAAAAAAAAAACCAACAAAAACTCTGTGAAAGTTACCTTCACAGTGTTTTGCTGTAAAGTTTCAATTGTAAAAATCGTGTCTCACGTACATAATCCGAAGTCATCTTCTTATTTTTCTTTGACCTTCTGTTGTCAGCTACATTATCGATTAGTTTACAAATTTACAATGATCTTTTAAATTTAAATAAAATATTCTCTAATCTTCAAAACTATATCCAAATACGTAATATGCTAATGAAATAGATTGCAGTCGGATATGAACGATGAGTTTTGGTGTATTTTAATTTGATTCTTATTTTGGGTAATGTACTTTTAAAACTTTCATTTTGGTACTTAAGATGTAAAGTTTTAAATATTTAAGTACACGGATAATGGGTTGAAACATTAACTGGTTACCATGTTGATGTGGTCTCAAACTCAGTATTATTTGCTATTCAACCCAAATTCATCCATCATTTGTCATATCAACATGGTAACCGATTACTTGGGTACTTATATGTTTAAAACTTTACATCTTAGATATTAAAATAAAAGTTTTAAAAGTAAATTACCCAAAATAGAAATCAAGCTAGATACAATTTGTCCATAAATATTCAAGGAGTATTTTGTAAGATTATAAAAAGATTTCTTAAGAAATAACATAATTTTTTTAAATGTAAATTTATTTTTCAATAGTTATATATATATATTTTATTATATAAACTATTCAATAAAAAACATAAAAGTATTAACTTATAGTATATTAGAAGGGTGTTCGCATAATATAGCGAGATATATCATAATTTTAATGTTTCGTTTTATTATTTATCTATGTGGATATAATACGGTTTTTAATGGTTTTGAGAAAACGATAATGTTTTTATTTTTGAATAAAATGTAAATTTAAATATATCATAAAAATTTGGAAAATAAATATGTCAATATTAATTATGTTTTTAGTGGTTTTGAGAAAGCTATAATGTTTTTATTTTTAATCTTTTATAAGTACAGTTTTATCATAATTAATTATGTTGTATAAACTTAATAAATGTGCACGCTCCCCCGATTCCTACTTGTTATGATGATCTTTTGAAATCCTACAAACATAATTACCTCAATTAATTATAGAGTCGTTGAGTTAAATGATCATTTATCTCATTTACGGGCTGTTTGGCAGTTGTTGAATGGTTTGTTACAGAATGATTAAGTGGTCAAAATGATTAAGAGACTCTTATAATATAGTACAAAATGAAATATAATTTTTTGGTAATTATTCAAATTGAAATTAGGGTGATGAATGGTCAAGGAGACCCAAGATACAAAATCATTCAGATGATTTTTGAACCATTAAGAGACATATTTTTTTTTATCAAACAAGATTCACTTCTTAACGATTAAAATACTGTCTCTTAATAGAACTATTAAGAGATAAACGAATAACCTCTTAACCATTTATTGCTCAGGTTAACCCAAATATCACTACTTCCGCAATATTACGGACCTAGCTAAAGATCAAAAATTCCCTTATAATATACCCTCACCTATTTAAAACGTTATTATAAAAGCTCCCCATTTAATTTGTAATTTTAAAGTTCACATCATATTTTACGAAAAACAAAAATTACTTGATACTAAAATTCAAAAACTATTTGACATTTAAGGGCCGTTTACCAAACACTTACTCGAGTAAGTGCTTACCAAGTCATGTTACCTCACTGGATGAATATGGTAAGGATCAATAATTTACTCGGTAAGTGCGAGATAAGGACCATGAATCTTACCCGGTAAGTGAATGCGAGAACTCTTACTACGGTAAGCGCTTACCAGGTAAATTGTTGCATACGATGTCGTTTTGGTGGACTAAAATCTTACCTGGTAAGTAAATAATAATGTTAAATTTTACCGGTAAACATTTACCAGGTAAGTGTTTGGTAAACGGCCCCTTATTTTCTTTCGAAATGAAGTTTTCATTTTATTAAAAAGAGTAAACAACAAAACTCATTGATACAAAAATATAATGACAAAGACACACAAAATTCGATTCATTAAAAAAATAAAAGACGACGTATTATAGTATGGTTTTTATACTTTTGCAGATATTCAATATTGGTGTCCTTTTGGTCGTTTTGACGAGATATTTTTAATAATATATTTTGTTATAAAATATATTTGGTATTATTATAGATATTTAAGGAATTAAATTAATTAATTAAAATGTATTAAAGTTTAAAATGAAACTTTATTTTGGGTTTTAGTTGATTAAGATATAATTATTTAGATTATATATACTAATTAATTTAGTTTCTAAATTAATTAATAGATTTTTAAATTATCATTTAATTAATATATTAATTTATCTTAGAATATTAACATTAATTAATTAATAAGGAGGAGATATTTATAGTAAAAATCATTAAATTATTTTTATTGATTTTTTAAGTATCATATTTTGGTTAAATATTATCGAAACGTTTTAATACGAAGCAAAAGATTCATTTAGTTATTAGAGGAGTCGTCGCGCAATGCAATGAGATACATCTCAATTTTGATGTTTGTTTTATTATTTGCTTTTGTCGATGTTATCATATGTTTTTATGTGGTTTTGAGAAAGCGATAATATTTTTATGTTTCAATAAAATATAAAATTGAAGATCTCATAAAATTTTGAATAAAATATATATCGATATCGGTATCAAATTAACTATTCAAAAGTTCTCGTTTTTTTGTGTAGTTTGTTTAATTTGATTTTTTTTATTATAACTTAATTTAGATTTAATAATGAATTAATTTACTTTAAATTTAATAATATAATTTTTTTACAAATCTGTTTGAAGTTAATGATTATTTTAATTATATTTTATAATTTTTTATATCTAAAATGAGATGTTTATCCATAGTTAGTTACACGAATGCGAATATGGAGCTTTAATAAGTGGTACTTACATACAATTTACTTGTAATCTTGAATTTTAAGTAATATGCATCAATAAACAATACATAATGCATCAAAAATGGGTTTTTAGAGTTTGTATCATATATTTTGTAATATACCATAGATTAAATGATAAGTCGACGTTAAGAATCGTTATCCAACGTAACATTTAGAGAAATATTAAATTATTTTCATGGTTTATAGTGTGATTAAAGCGTTTTAATTTGAGTTAAATATTTATTGAGACGTTTTAATTTGGCGATGAATAAATTTATAAAATTGCTATAAGGGTACTCGCGCAAATGCGCAATGCAGCGAGATAAATCTCGATTTTAATGTTTAGTTTTTAATCTTTGTCTCTATCGATATAATACGATTTTATATGGTTTTGAGAAAACAATAATGTTCTTATTTTCGAATGAAATATAAATTTGAATATAGCATAAAATTTAAAAAAAAAAAAAACCAATATTAGTATCAAATTAACTATTTAATAGTTCTCGTTTTTTTGGTGTAACTTCTTTAATTCAATTTTTATTATAACTTAATTTAGATTTAATAACAAAGTAATTTAGTTTTGGTTTAATAAACAATTTTTTTTATAAAGATTATAATTAAACATTTTGTTATAACTCAATAATTATCTTAATTATATTTTAGATTTTCTATATTTAAAATGTATGTTTATCATGTATTTGATTATGTTTATCTGCAATTCATTACACGAATTTAAAAATAAAGCTTTAATAAGTTGTACTTATGCAAAATTATTTGTATCTTGAATTTTAAGTAATATGCATCAATAAATAGTACTTCATGCATAAAAAATTGATTTTAAGAGTTTTTGTCAAATGTTCTATAATATAGTATTGATAAAAGGATTATTTTGACGTTTTAGGACGTT